TTTTATATTTTCATCACATCAATCTAATAAATGAAATGCATCTCAGTTTGATGATGTCTGACTATTCTGAATACTTTTTTTTTTTTTGTTCTACAAATAATTGCCTGTCACATCCTTGCTCTATTTTCTAGTAAGTTATCTTTTTCCAATTGATTTGTAGGATCTTTCCCTATATACTCCACATTTGATGTTAAAAGAATTTTCGCTAGGTCTGCTTTTTGTCTTTTAAAATTTACTGAATGCAGAACTTTTGAATATTTAGGTCACCTGATTTGTAAATCTATTTTTTTTAATCACTGCATTATGTCATGCTAAGAAAGAATTTTTTTACTTAGAAAATCTTGAAAATGGTGTTCTTTATGGAAAGAGCTCTATGAAAAAAGATCCACTTAATAGCTTATTACCCCAAAACGTTTATGGAAGAGTTCATTTCCCCAGTAATTTGAATCAAAGCCTTTACTATATACTCAATTTGCATATTTACCCAGACCTTCTCTGACTCTTCTGATCAATTTGCCGATTTTTTTACCAGAACTTACCATTTGAATTACTGTAGTGTATAATACATGCTTATATCTTTCAGGGCAAGGCCTCCCAATTATTTTCAAAATTGTCTTCTTTTTTCTCATGTATTTACTCTCCTAGATAAACATAAGAATCAACCTGTAACAACAAGTAACAACAAAATGGGGGGTTTTAATTCAAATTACATTCAAAATTGCTTGGTGAAATTAAAGTTTTCTATAATTGAGTCTTCCTATCCTGGTACATGGCATAAGTTCGTTTATTAGGTTTGCATATATGTTTTTAATTTTTTAAAAAAAGATTTTATTTGTGCATACAAGAGCTGAGATACAGGCCAGAGGTGTGGGGGTGAGAGGATTCACCAGAGACAGAGTGGGGAACAGAACAGGCAGACTGACTGAAATACACTGCTGAGGGGAACAGCAGGCAAGTCAGGAGAGGTCTGCTGCACCACGGGGGTTAGCTCCCTGGCCTGGGATTGAACTTGTGGTGCAGTGACTGTGGATGCTTCATAGTGCTGCATTTAACCCCTAGCGCCATCAGGGAGGCCCCTATGTTTTTACTTTCAAGTGTTTTTTTAAATGTTCTTACTGAATTATACAGTCAGAAGAGTGTGCAAATCATTAATATAAATCTGGGTTAATTTTTATGAAGCAAACATTGGCGTAACCACCACCTAAAAGAAAAACAGCTCATTACCTGAACCCTAGAATCTTCCCCTGTCTACCCTTTCTTTGTAACCACTATGTGATTTCACCACAGAATAATTTTATCTGACTTTGAATCAGATAAATGGACCATTTCAATATACGCTCTTGTGCCTAATGTCTTTTGCTTAGCATTATATTTGTGGGATTCATCCTTGTTTTTGCAATTAGTTCATTCTAGTGGTCAGTCTTTGACATTGTTGCATAATAATTCATTGCACAAATATTGTACAACTTCATCTGCATTCTGTTGTTTATGGACTATTTCCTCTTTGGGCTGTTTATTATTAATTATACCTATGAATGCACATACGTAAATGCCTTTTGGTACACATATGTCACATTCTCTTGGATATAGTCTCCAGAATAGGATTATCATAGAATAGTTGTGTTTTTATAATAGACACTGTCAGGCAGTTTCCAAAGTGGCTGAATAAATAGAACCTACCAGCTGGGTAAAGTGTTCTCTTGTTCCGCATCCTTGTCAGCACTTGACATTTGCAGTTTTTTTTTCATCATAGACATTTTGAGTAGACATCTTCATTTGTGCTATGCCTGTTCAAGTTTGTCCATTTTTAATTGGACTGTGTTTTTTTTTTAAGATTTATTTATGCAAGTACTGGGTACAGTTAGATGCGTGGGAGGGCGAAGAGAATTCACCAGAGCCAGAGCGGAGAGCAGAACAGGCAGACTGACGAAATACACTGCTGAGGGGAGCAGTGGGTGGCAGGAGAGGTCTGCATGCCATGTGGGACCCTCGCCCGGTGGCCGGGGATTGAACTGGCGCTGCAGAGGCTGCGGGCAACAGAGGTTGCGAAAACCCAGCACTCAACCGCTGCGCCACCGGGGAGGCCCTGGACTGTATCTTTTAATTGATTTGTTAGATATATACACTTTGCCTATCTCCTCCCACTATTTGTCTTGTCTTTTCATTCCCTTGGTGGTACATTTTGATAAACATCTTTTTATTTGGATATAAGTCAACTTATCAATAGCTTACATTTGCACTAGTAATTTTGATGTCCTGTTTAAAATTATGTAGCTGCCCCAAGTTCCAAAAAATTGTCGCCTTTGTTTTGCTTGCATATGGTGTGAGACAAGCATTCAATTTGCTCATGTTGTGTTAAGGCTTTTGTGTCTGTGAGCTGTGTTGGCTTGTAATTTTCTTTGATTGTATTTTTCTTGCAATTTTTTTCCATGGGAATCTTACACTGCCCTAGAAAAGATATTGGGTAGTATTCCTTTTTTTCTGTTCATTAGCAGACGTTTTAAGTTTGGCATTATTTGTTCCTTAAATGTTAGAATAATTTGATGATGAAGTCCATCCACAACACACTTTCTTTCTTGGTTCTTTATTTCTGTTGTTAACTTGTCCTGAATTTTGGTGGATAAGTTACAGATGTTTAATTTTTGGTTTTAATTCTTTTTTTTTAATATTCCTTTATTGACTCTGATTTAAAAATTATCTAATGTCATAGTTGTTTCTTTGTTTTGTTTTAGCAGTTTTAGACATGTTTTTAATATAAAGGATTAATTCATACTGGCAATCTGTTCCTTCTTTTATCCTCTTTGCTCTCTGCCTTTCCTAAACAGAATGATATCTCAGTCACTTATATCTTCCATCCCTTTCCCCATATGTGACTGAAATCATGAGGAATTTTGGTTCAAGAGATTGTTTATTCATGACTCATCTGTCTTCACAATTCTTTCTTAACAATTGTGTTAAGCTTAACTTATACACTACTAAGTGTTAAAAATAAATTCTTTATTCCTTACTATATCACATACTGAATATCTTTCCCTTTTGTGATTCACTTTTTGTTTTGTTGGCAAATATCCACAACTAATCTTTTTTTTTAAGATTTATTTATTTATTTATTTATTTATTTATTTATTTATTTATTTATACAAGCACTGGGTACAGTCATAAGTGCGGGAGGGTGAGAGAATTCACCAGAGCCAGAGCAGGGAGCAGAACAGGCAGACTGACTAAGTACATTGCTGAGGGGAGCAGCGGGCGCGGCCAAGAGGTCTGTGCGCCATATGGGACCCTCACCGGTGGCCAGGGATCGATCGAACGAGCACTGCAGAGGCTGCAGGCAACTTTGCAGCCCAGTGCTCAACTGCTTCGCCACCAGGGAGGCCCTAATCTTTTTTTTTTTTAAATAAAGAGAATGTGGTTGTTACTTCATTACTTCTTTCATGATTAAAAATGTTTTCCTTTTGGCTTACACTTGAATAATATTTTTGCTAGGAAATAAGACTGTTCATTTATAGTCCTTTTCACTCACAACTCTGAGGAGACTGAGTCATGTTTTTAACATTTGGTGTTCCAAATTATAAATCTAATTCTTACTACTGTGTTAATGACTTCCTTCCCCACCACCAGAAAGATTATAGAATTCTCTTTATGTTGTTTAACAGTTCATGAACTATAACATCCTAAACAATAAAATCTTTCTTTCATATTTATGGACCTTCTCATGGATTATTTCATTGATTATTTTATTTTATGCTATCATCTTATAATTTTTTCTTTTGAATTCTTATAAGATGGATTTTGAGTCTCCTGTAGCTATTTTCCATGCTACTTAATTTCAGCTTCATAGTTTTAAATTTTTCATTGCTCTCCCTGTCCTTCAGGGAGAATTCCTTCCAGATCATCTATTGTCTATTAGCCATGTTCATTGTAACACTCAACTCTTCAGTGTTTCAAAATAATGTCTTGACAATCGTTTATCATTTCCAGGATCTTCCTTGTTCTCCTATTTTTCCATTCCCAAAGAAATCTGTTCTTAAGGGTATATTATGCTCTCTAGTCTGAGTAATGATATATTTTGGGTGTTTATTGGGGTGTTAGGGAAGGGAAGGGAATGTGGAATTAGTGGCTAGGTTTTCCCCAGTTGCCAGCTGGTGCTTGTTTTATGCTCATATTTTAAAATGTAAGTCTAGGTTCATCATTATTCCTACTTTATGGGGATTTCCTTAGATCTTGCTAATGGTTAACTATATGATGCATGTGGACACAGTTCACCGTTGCTGTGATAGTTGAGCGTAGGGTCTGCACATAGTCTTCACTAGTTGTAGTGAGCAGACCAAGCCGCACCCATGAGTAGACTGCCTTTCAGGGTGTCAAAGTTGAAAACTGGAAAACTGAGAACTCTCTCAAATATAGACACAGAGACAGTATTAGCTGAGAGATGGTGTGCACTCGCCTAGCCTTCCGTTCTAAACTAGCTGATGAGCTGTAGAGTCCAAGTATAAGTCTCTCTTGATTTGTGGGGTGAAAAAATTAAAGAAATGTGCTAACACCATTTAATTCTAGGCTGCCCAGGATTTGCACATAAGACATTTGGACTATATATTACAGAGTGATAGCAGTTCTTTATGTGCTAAGAGTAAAAAGAAAGGATATGTAACTTTTCCTCCTTTTTTTTTTTTTTTGGTTATTAGTAGAAATGCTATCTTTTTCCAGTGAAGATGCTAGCTAGAATATTCTTGGTTTTTCCAAATTCATATTTTCCTTCCATTATTGGAGTACCTGCATTAGTGCATCAGTTAGTATTTACAGTAAGGTTATTGCATCAGTCCCATGATAGAAATATTGTTCCTACTATTTATTCTAATATACATGTACTTGTTTGAAATTGCATTGTTAAAGTGTTATCTGTTGGAGTTTTCTGTTATTTAACATGATCCTAAAATTTTTAATTCTCCAAAGAAGAAATGGCAAATTATCTTAATGCCTTTTGTTGTTTTTGTTTCTAGCCTATTCTACTAAGCTCAACAAATTTCCCGTATTTAATGTTAATGATGACTTGAATGATCTGTGTACCAGTGCAGTAAGCCCAAACACCACCAAAGCCACACGCTATGCCTTGAACGTGTGGCGATACTGGTGCATGACCAATGGGCTCAAAGACCACACGGACATCACCAAGGTAAGACGCTTGAGCTTTCTTCTGTAGCCAGCCCCCCTGCACTCCCAGGTGCCAGCACTGTGCTGAGCATTGTTGGGAACACAGAACAGGTAGAAGTACTTTCTGCCTGGGGAAGCTTTGAAAGAAAGAATGTAAGCGTTTCAAAAACCCACCGTATAAAACAGAATTGAATGTGTTTTATAAATGTGTAGATCAGAAATGCCAAAAAAATTACATGGACTAATTTATTTCAGCTCGATGGGGTTTCAAAGGAATTCAGATTTGAGGCATCTTTTGAGGGAGAGGTAGAATTTTGACGGAGTTGAATGGAAGACAAACCTCTTCTAGGGTGGTGCTGTGAGAAGGGGTAAAATTGGGGGGAATAGATGCCCTGTGTGCAACATAGAATCCTTACGTATGGGAATAGTTGGCTATAAAACTGGATTTTGATAATCCTTAAATGTTAAATAGAAATCTATGAAATCTATTGGGAAACCATTGAAGTTTTGTTCTTGTTTAAGGAGAAACTTCACTTGAAGAGATGGGACTAGTGAAACAGAATACTCTGACCATAAGATCTGCAGGGGTTTTAAGAATTAGGCAAAAAGGAAACTACTGATTTTTTTAAAATAAGATGGAGGAATGTAGTAAAAGTGTATTTGATTAGAGCAATTGATTAAAAGTGATAAGCAATATTTTATTTAATGTTCTTGGTTCTCAAATTCCTCATTTTTAAAACGAATTATTGAAATCACTTCCAATTTAAGATATTTGAGGTTTGTAAATGGAAGGAAAAATTCTTGGGCATGTAGAGACAGAACAGAAATATATTTTTTCATTTTAATATACTGAGTCTAAATCAGATGCATGTCCAGATGGTCATGTCCAATAAGAAGTAATTGGCAGAGTGGGATTTAAAATATGGGGGAAATGGTAAAGCTGGAGGTATTAATTTGAAGATCTTGAAGTAGAGGTCATAGTTGAAGGTCAAGGGCAGGTGACCTCTCCAAGTGATAACATCAACAAGAGAGGAAGCAAGAAATCTAGGTTTCAAGTTGATGCTTTGACTGTGAGGGCCCTTTCTGCTGTTCTTAAAGAAAGAAAGGAAATACACACAGTCCACACACGCCGCCAAAAAACAAAAAAACAAACAAACAAAAAAAAAACCCCACAACTGAAACTGGAGCAATGAGATTAAGCCCATAAAGAGGAAGGCTCTCCCTCAGGGTGTGTGTTGATCACAATATTTAGAAAGAAAAGGGACAGGTGGATGCACTGAAGAATCCTTGATTGGGGAGAGACCCCTGGAAGGGACCTAAAGAGGTTTTCGATTCTTGCTTCTTGCAGAATCTTATGCTGAGAACCTTTAAAGAAAAGTACCTAAAATGTAAGGTTTTTGCAGGTTAAGATTAACTAAATATGTGTTTATTACCAAAAAAAAATCACAAGCCACTCAGGGAAATAAATCACCATCAGTGAGGGTGAATAGAAACAACAGATTTAAACACCAAAAATATTAGATAGTGGATTATAGATCAAGTGTGTATGAAATGTTTATAGAAATTATAGGAATTTAAAGTCAACAGACTAATCAAAATGACCCAGCACATTTGAAAATAAATTTTCAAAATAAATTTAGAAATTTCTACTTCTAACCTAAAGGGAATTGAAAGGGTAGAGAATTTCCTGCCTTAATAATTAGAAACTCAGAAGATATAAGAAACAACCCCTGCTGGACAGAATAGACAACACAGGACTTGACCCTTAAGACAAAGGTAATAATTGAGAATAGTGCTCCCATTTCTTAGACTTCCGGCATGGAGGCAATTTCTGAACTGCAGTGAAGAGAGGGGAACCCAAACTCGCCTGGCAGTCTGGCTGAGTTGAGGGGAGACAGAGATTAGAGTTCAAAGAGGGTAGGACATGAATACTTCTAGAATACTAGAAAAAAGTTCCAATGTTTGTTGAAAAATATATGATGAATCTAGAATTTAACAATGTAAAATTCAGTTTCTCACTTCCAATCAAATATTACTACATGCAGGAAGAAATGGGACCATGGAACCCCATACCTGGAATAAAATCAGTTGAGTCTTTCACTTCAAGCCAATTTGGGGGGCCAGCTTTATGCACCTGCCCAAAACCACAGAAAAACTGACAAATGATATAAAAGCATGTTTTGCAAGGTGCTATATAAATAAAGAAGGACAGTGATTCTTTGAGAGATAGGGAATAAGGTGAGCTTTATGTACCCCAACTTGCTGCCTTAAGAGGGTTTATTTTTTTTTTTTTTTTTTTTAAATAGAGGCATGTTTTATTTATTTATTTGTTTGTTTGTTTTGTTTATACATGCACTGGGTACAGTCAGAAGCGCGGGAGGGTGAGAGATTTCACCAGAGCCAGAGCAGGGAGCAGAGCAGGCAGAAGGACTGAGGTACACTGCTGAGGGGAGCAGCGGGCGGCAGGAGAGGTCTGCGCGCCATGTGGGACCCTCCTCCGGTGGCCGGGGAACAGCTGGGGATCGAACCAGCGCTGCAGAGGCCGCGGGCAGCTTCGCAACCCAGCGCTCAACCGCTGCGCCACCTGGGAGGCCCTTAAGAGGGTTTATAGGACTGTGGTGCTGGCAGAGCTGAGTTGAAGAAATGAGGCTGAGAGAACCGAGATCAAGGTGACTACAATTGTCATGACAGTCCTCAAAAGTAATCACTCAGGAAGAGAACCAAAGATAGTTGCCCTCAAGATATTCAGCTGTGAACTGATCCACATAAACGTGGAAGGAAATTCCCTGAGGTTGGCAAAAAGATTAGCGGTAACAGTACCTGGAGTTCATGCAGAACTGGAAAGAGTACCTCTTCCCACCAACCAGACTAGAAACATCAGGATTCGTGGAGAAAAGTACTCAAGAGAAGTCTTGAATCAGATGTGGAGAACAGTTAGCCTTAGACCGAGTTCTACTCTAATCCTACCTAACAAATCTTAAAAGCAAGAGACACAGGTAAGTGAAAAGGGGCTCATTGTCACTGATTATCAGGGCAATGTAAATTAAAATCACAATGAGATATCACTTCACGCCTTTGATAATAGAATCGCTGCTATCAAAAAAGACAAGAAATAATAAGTGTTCACAAGGATCTGGAGTAAGGAAACCCTTGTGCCCTACTGGGAATATGAATTGAAATGAGGTGTTGATATATGCTGTGGTGTGGATAAACCTTGAAAATGTTAGTCTAAGGGAAATAAGACACAGAAAGACAGATATAGGATTCCCCTCATTTAAGGTTCTATGTAATAGGCAAGTTCATAGAAACAGAAGGCAGAGTGGAAATTATCAGGGGCACAGGGAGGTGGAAAATAAAATGGAGTTCTTGTTTAATGAGTACAGTTTTTATTTGGAGTGATGAAAAAGCTCTGGAAAGTAATAGTGGTGAAGGTTACACAGCACTGGGAATGTACCATTGAATTGTTTGATTATAAATGGTTAAGATGATGAATTTCATGTCATGTATAATCAATCACTGTAAAAAACAAATCAATAAAAATGTAACTCAGCTGTATTAATTGTAATTTTTAAATTCACCTATTCTCTCGACCCCATCACATTTCTTCACCTTCATTAACCTTAACCTTTTCTAGACCAGAATGTCTTATCTTTCACACTATCTGAAGACAATTGACTGTTCGGGGGACACTTCACATTTCCATGCAGGAATCCGTGAAGAGACTCATTTCTCCTCACCCTCCATGACTTAAATGATATCTATATCTGGGTGGTGAGAGTGTCTCACCTGTCCAGTAGGGTGTGCCTTATCATCTCTTCTAGGTACTAGTGTTTGTTAGTTCCCTTGTGTTATCTAGAAGAATAAATATGAGGAGAAAGATGTATTTCAGTTCTCCGTCATCTACTCACATCGCCGTTCAAATGAAATAGTTTTAATAATAAATTCTTAAGAGGTCAACATCTCTTGGACAATTAACCCATGTTTAATAAGGAGAAGAAATTGTGGCATCAAGGCCCATCTACTTTCTTGGTCTTATCTAAGGTGTTTTTAGTCTAGATTCTCTTCAAAAAGAGCTCCAGCTGGCAGCAGTCAAGGCAGGGAGCAGTTCTTGATCATGATTTGGCCACTGGTGAACCACCAGTGAATTGTTTACTCAAGGCAGAAAGAAATGAGTCACATCAGTCAAATGAATCAAATCAGTCAAATGAGTCAAATGAGTCAAATGTCATCTAAACAAGCAGAGTGTCCGTGGCCTCACTCTCTCGTCACTTTATAATCTGCTATGTGTGTTCCACACAGTATTATTTTCCTATAACTTCTCACAGTGTGACCTGTTTTTCACTGAATCATCTCCCTGAGATTTCAAACTCACTGACTTCTGTGTTTCTCAGACTCACTCATTGAAAAATTGAGTATTTTGAATTTCAATATATAGCTTTCTGAATAAAGTAAAATTTGGTAACTACAAAATGAATTCATTTTTATTGTTTGTGATGGCTCAACATTTATTTCTTTTCCTAGAAAGTACTTGTAGTTCATAAGCATTTCTTTACTTTCTTTGCCCCCCCATATGAGATTATTACAAAGGGGAATTTGAGGCATTCCCCAAAAATGAATTATTAATTTTACTTGTCTTATAACTCTTTCAAAATGTCTAGGATTGTTATGTAGTTCCAGAATTTAGAAATCTGGCAAATAAATACTATTTTTTCTTAATTTATTCTTTCACACCTGGAGTCCCCTGACCCAGCACTTGCTTCTCCTTAGTCATTTTTTATGTCACGGAAGCCAAGTTTATAATCCATGGTGAATTTTGACATGGTAAATTAATTTAAAGTGGCTTATGAAGGAAAATGGTTTCTTGAAATGTCTTTATGACAAATTGAAGACCTCGGGCCTCCCCGGTGGCGCAGCGGGTTGGGCGCTGCGCTGTGAGGCTGACTGCAGCCTCTGCAGTGCGGGTTCGATTCCCGGCCTGCCAGGGAGAAAACCACATGGCGCAGCAGACCTCTCCTGCCTCGCCCACTGCTCCCTTCAGCAGTGTCTTCGGTCTGTCTGCTTGTTCTGCTCCCCGCGCTCTCTGGTGAGTTCTCTCACCCTCCCGCGCCTCTGACCTGTACCACAGTTCTTGTATAAGTAAATAAATCTTTAAAAAAAAAAAAAAAAACCAATTGATGACCTTGTAACCTGGAGGAGTTATCACCAACCAAAACTCAGTCTGAGAAACCGAAGAAATAGTCAACATGGGTCAGAAGGAACAGTTTCTTTCATACAAATAATAGATGGTGAATTGATATTTCCCCAGAAATTGCTTTGCTGTGATTTTACTTTGAGATTTGTGGTATCCTATGAAAATGAAGAAAAATGTTGTGCATCCTAAGTCATAAGTCAGCTTGGTTTTTGTGACTCTCAAGACTAACTCTAATTCATTTATAGCCCACCTTTGTCAGTTTGTTGAGTATCCATTGTCTATTTCAGGCCTTCTGATATGTATTAAAGACCCAGTTGTGTATAGGATGTAATTCTTGCCTTCAGGGAGCTGTTAGTTCACAATGAGAGACAGAAATATAAATAAATAAACAGACTGTGTAATATGGAAAAGGGCAAAAGAGAAAAGTTAATGCATGGATCCCTAGTGAGAGTGTAATTTAAGGAAGCTGGAGAAGCCTTATATATTGTAGATAGAATTTGAACTAGATCTGAAAGAATAGATATTTTCCAAATAGAGATGGTTAGAAGAAAGAGCATTTTTTTAAAAAAGATTTATTTATTTATATAAGCACTGGGTACAGTCAGAAACATGGGAGAGTGAGAGAATTCACCAGAGCCAGAGCGGGGAGCAGAACAGGCAGACTGACAAAATACACTGCTGAGGGGAGCAGCGGGCAAGACAGGAGTGGTCTGCGCGCCATGTGGGACCCGTGCTGGCCGGCCGTGATCGAACCAGTGCTGCAGAGGCTGCGGGCAGCTTCGCAGCCCAGCGCTCAACCACTGCGCCACCAGGGGAGGCCCAAGAAAGAGCATTTTAGGCTGAAGAAGTTGCCTGTGCTAAGACCTAGAAACATGAAAGGGCCTTGTGGTTTCTGAGAATGGTACCAAGTTCGGTGAGACTGGAAAATAAAGTACTGCAAGAACAGAAGATCAGGCTAGATAAATAAGGTGTGTATTAATTACCTATGGCTGCAATAACAAGCCTTTCAAAGACTGTTTAAAGCAGCATTGATTTTATTGGGTTGTCAGAAAAGTCATGATGCATTTTTGCTTGAAAAACAGAAAAATATGTCATGACTCTTCTGACAACCCAATATTTGTGCATGATTCTATGGGTTCAGCTGGGTGATTCTTCTACTGCTCTTACTGTGGTACCCATGTGGGTGCAGGCATTTGGATATTACGTGGGAGACAGCCTGTCTCTGCTCCACAGTTTCCCAGGGTTTGCTAAACTGGTTTCCTCACCATGTTAAGACCCTCTAAGAGGAAAGCAGGTGACAGCACAATCCTTTGAGTCCTGGGCATGGAATTCATACACTGTCACTTATGTCACATTCTATTTGTCAGAATGAGGCATGGCAGCCCAGACTCCAAGAACAGGAAAGTGGATTGCACGGCTTTTTTTTTTTTTTTTAAGATTTATTTATGCATACAAGAACTGGGGTTCAGGCCAGAGGAGCGAAGGGTAAGAGGATTCACCAGAGACAGAGTGGGGAACAGAACAGGCAGGTTGACCGAAGTACACTGCTGATGGGAGCAGCGGGCAAGACAGGAGAGGTCTACACCGCCATGTGGGTAGCTGCCTCACCGGCCAGGGATCAAACTCATGCTGCAGAGGCTGCAGACAGCCTCACAGTACTGTGCTTAACCCCTTGTGCCACCAGGGAGGCCCATATTGCACCTCTTGATGGGAGAAGCTGCAAAGCCACATTGCAAAGGGTACAGGGAGGGAAAGCCTTGTGCTTACTTTGCAAACAGTCTACCACAGAGTGGAAGTAAATTGTGAAGTCTTGTATAAAAGGTAAACAGGAATTTATCCTGATGGCAAGGAGCCATCAGAGTTTAGTTGTTTTGTTTTAAAGCACAAAGGTGATAAGATTTTCTGCTTAGCATTCCCTATTTAGGAGCCATTCCTTTCCTACAGTCCCTGGGGTTACTGCAAAGGTCTTCACATTAGTTCAGTGGCCCAACTTTTGGTCATAGGTTTGGATCAGGTATATACCGATCAGAATCCTGCCTTTGGATATTTTTCCATTGAAAATGAAAGTTGGTCTCCTGCCCCCTGAAGCTGTTAGATGGAAGCCTTGGGGAGCGCTTTGCAGCTGCGTTTTCATATGTGAAAAAAACCACTCTGCTGAGCGCCTTGGAGTCCACAGTGTCTATATCCCTTTCTGCTAGGCTTGTTCAGGGTCAGTCTGTCTCCTGCATTCAAGCAAGTCTTCCTAATGTAAAGAAAGGTTAACATCTAAAAATAGGGCGTTGCAAGGGACAGCATAAAAATACAAAACTAGCTCAGTTTGGGTCCAGTGGTTATTGGGAAGTTTATTTGACTGATTTTTAGCTTTGTACTGACATATGAGAAAGCTGATGCCTTTTGTATTTTGGATGCAGCTACCCTAGTCTTCATAATCAGATTATTAAGAAACAATTACATTTTGTCTTTCTCCTTTCCTATGTACATATGTATGTGTACATATACATATACATATGCATGTGCATTTCTTTTTCTTTTTCTTCTCTTACCTGGTTGGCCAGAACCTTCAGAGCTGTGTTATATTATAGCACTGGTATTCAGCATGCTCATTCTGTTCCTGACTTTTGAAGGTGAAAGTCTAATGGTTTCATATTGGGTATATTTTTTATAGTTCTTAGCTATAAATTACTTTCATCATTGTAAGAGCTTATTTTCTTTCAATGTAAATTTAATTTGAATTTTTAAAAATTAGAACTAAAAATCCTCTTTTGCAAATAATTTCAGTAATGATCAAGTTCATATTACTTTTTCCTCAGTGTATAAATAAATTGTATTAGAATATTTATTAAGAATGAATCATCCTTACACTCTGCAATAACCCCTACTTGTCCTGAGATAACACTGCTTTCCTGCAGTCCTGAATTTGATTTGGTAGCTTGAGCAGTTCTTGTTATGTGTGATATTTTATTAATTGCAACTTGTGTATATCAGAGACTAGTTTATATTTTATAGTCATAAGCTTTGTTTTATACTGTAATACCTATCATATTTGGGTTAGAAAAGCCAAAGAAGTTTCTTTTTTTCCTTTTCTAAAACTGTTTAAACACTAAAGAAAAACCAAATCAGTTCCCTGAAAGCATCTCTTTGGGAGTGATATATAGCTTTGATAATCATTTTATTCTCTTCTCTTATTTGGGAATATTCAGATCTTTTCCCTCCTTCAATTCAACCAACTGTGGTAGTTTATATTTTTCTAGAAAATTGCTTGGGTTATCTAAACTTTCAAAGTAATATGCATATATTATATGATATATGTCATGTTCTTTTTTCATTTTTTGTAGTTAGTCTTTCTCATTTCTCATATTATTTAAATGTTTATTTCCTTTTTTCCTTTGTCCTCCTTTCTGTCAAACCTGTTAGAAGTTTGTCAACTTTATAGGTCTTTCCAAAGATTACATATTTTCATTTTTTTAATCTAAATGTGTATCTTTTCTAATTGTTTTAATTTTATTGATTTATTCCTTTTAAATTTGTTTTGCTTTTCTTAGCTTTTTCAGTTGAATAATCACTTTGCTTAGTTTCAAGCAAAGTTTTCTAACAAATCATTCAAGACAGTATCATTGGAGTTTGTTCGGCACCATCAGTTTGTTGATATAAAATGTTTTCATTTTGGTTCATTTTTAATCTTATAAATCAGCTTTTGTTTTCTCTGTGACCCAAGGCATTTAGAAGAATGAATATTCCCGAACAGTTTCTACTTTTTGAAAAATGTTACTGAGATTTTCTTTCATCCTAGAAGATGTGTTCAACCTGAGCTGACTGTGAACTAGTTTTGTCTTTATAGCTCTGTCTAGAAAATAGACCTGTCTTATTGGCCAAGCCTCCTTCTCTTACTATACCCAAATAAGGCAATCTCTAACTGTCACTGTAGTCATTGAGTTTCTCATCTTTTGAACGAATGTTGATTTCTTAAGTGAAAGATATTTTAAGACCTAGACGTATAAATTCAAAGGAAAAAAATCAAGGAACAAAATGGACATGCCACTCATCTTTCCCTTCAGCTCCAGGTACCATCAGTCCCAATCAGGATGTGCAGATATCAAGGAAGTTAATGCTGGAATAACTCAAAGTTTGATCAGTTTAGTTCATTGCTATTTACAAACCCTCACATCCTCTATAAGCATCACAGTAATCCTTTGAGAATTAATAGGCCCCACGGTGCTGCTTAAGGAGATTAGGTGGAGCCAGGTAGGAAACCTAGCTCTTCCAGTTTGAAGTTCACTTTTCTTTCTACAATCTCATGCTAACAGGCAGAAAATGTCATGCCCACACACCCCCTGGTGAGGATTAGGAGAAGAAAGGCAGGTCTGGCTAGTTGGGTGTCCTCCATTGTGTAACCTCAGTGTTTGTCTCATTTGAGATCCCCGCAGTGAAGTTGAATGAGCTGCTTGAGAACTTTTATGTCACCGTTAAGAAGAGCGACGGCTCAGACTTCTTGGCCACCTCCCTCCATGCCATCCGCCGAGGCCTGGACCGCATCCTGAAGAATGCAGGCGTGGGCTTTTCCATCACCAGCAGCACCTTCAGTTCTTCCACCAAGAAACTCAAGGAGAAGCTGTGGGTGCTGAGTAAGGCAGGGATGTCAGGTGCCCGATCCCGCAACATCGTCTATTTCTCCCTTTCTGATGAAGAAGAGATGTGGCAGGCTGGATGTCTGGGGGATGACAGCCCTATCACTCTCCTGTCCACGGTTGTCAAGTACAACAGCCAGTACCTGAACATGCGGACGCTGCAGGAGCATGCCGACCTGATGTATGGTGACATCGAGCTGCTCAAAGACCCCCAAAACCAGCCCTACTTTGCCCGCACGGATAGTGTCAAGCGGGAGAGTCGCAGCGGGTCCACGAGAGTGTGCCACGGGAAGATCTATCACGAACACTCCAGGGGCCACAAACAGTGCCCTTACTGCCTCCTCTACAAATACATGTACATCCACCGGCCACCAACCCAGATGGAGGCCAAGTCCCCTTTCTACCTGACGGCCAGGAAGGAGGCCACAGACATGGGCAGCGTGTGGTACGAGGAGCAGAGGATGGGGCTGCGGTCTCTCCGGGGAATTGTTCCAAACTTAGCCAAGAAGGTCAAGCTGGAAAACTGTGAGAACTTCACTTTTGTCTCATTTACTCAGGTCTCCAGGAGGCTCGGCTCCCACAGCTGCTGCCAGTGAGTCTTCCTCAGTGCAGGCCATAGCCAGAGTTCTGGGGTGGCTGGGGAGGACCATGACTTCATGGTCGGGCTGTGACCCGCTGTTTCTTTGACTTTTGAGGTTTTTAATGGAAAGTAGATGAGTCTCAATCAGTAGGATGGTTTATCCATATGCGTGTCACCTTTGTTAAATGATAGAATCTAATACAATGTGTAATTGCTACATACACAAGAGTGAGGCAGTTCATTTTATCTAGTGCCTTTTTAGCACAGAATTCTCAAAAAAAAAAAAAAAAAAAGATTGAAAAAAGCCCTGTTTAAGTAGTCATTAAAAAAAATCCCAGTAGCCTCGTAGCTTTAGAATGTTATGAAGACTATCTACACTTTGTTGAATTACACTCATCGTTAGGAACTAGAAAGAGGCAGACATGTTAACTATTTCTAGGAGAAAAATTGCACTGGACACTCCTTTATATTTTGTTGATGGATCAGTCAGTTCAGTGGCTCCTGTAGCCTTGCTGGGTGGAAGGTGGCAAAGCTGGTTCAGCCATGCCGAGGGCTCCCATCACCGGCGTGAACTTGATCTCTAAAGAAAAAAAAAGATTAGTGTACCAAAAGGTGCTGGTGAGAACAAGGTTTCCAGTGAACTAGGTTTGTACCTTGAGGGAATTTCCAGTGGTGAAAGGACTTTGGTGGCTTGGAAAAGCAATCTGTGATCAAAATGTGAAAACCTCCTGAAGCGGAAGTGCCTACATTTTATTTCTTAGCTCCATGTGAAAACTATTTTCATTTGAACAATTTTCAGAGGACTTTTTTTTTAATTCCTTGTGTCCTACAGTTGTTCTGTCAACATAGAACACTGGATCTGTAAAACAATGAAGGTAATTTTCAGGTTAACCAGGAAAAAAAAAAAAAAAAAAAAAAGTTGCAAGGAAAACAAATTCCAAAATGTGTTTTTAAAGAACTTTGGAGTATTTTTGTCAAAGTAAGACGTTTTCAGCCACAATAGATGTCATTATTTTAGGTTGGCACCAATGCTTGGGACACAATGATGTAGCAACCTACCAGGTAAGCAAACCCAGCATTACAGAGTATAAAATTGAAGCACGGTGATAGGTTATTGATGTAATTTGAAATCAGGTGAAATTTCACTCTGATGAATCTTTTACCTGACAGCATGTTATGGAAACATCTACAAAATTTTCTAATAACTACTCTGATTGAAAAGTGCAAAAGAAGCCCAAAGAATGCTAATTAATAATAGTACAATTTCTAGAGATCTTTATTTTATATGTAAGGAGAGACTGCTAAATTTATACCATTATGTTCCTGTGTGTGCATTCTAATCTAAAATTAAATTTTCAGTGTAAATTCATTTTAATGAGTTCTTAAACCATTCCTATTTCTTTTGCAAAACATTTTGGTATTTATTTTAGTTGTTTTTGAAGATCTTCACTAGTCATTCAAATATGTAATGCTTCTTTTCCCAGAGAAGTCTCAACCAATGCTGCCTTAAGGGTTAGTTCTGATTCCTTTTTAGTTACTGCACATTTCTAATTTTGTATACTAGTTGATCCTTGAGTATAGGTTACTTTTTATATGTCTCCATCTGTATGTAAATAACCGGCAATATTTAATAATCAGTGTTTTGATTTGATACTGCATACTGTTCTGTTGTGGTTTCCTTTGTGATTTTAGGGTTTTGATTAGAAAGAGAAAACATTAGGTATGGTTTCCTTTAGCTTGCTAAACACCCAAAGGACATTTTGTTTGTGCAAAGCAGGTGGCATTTTTCTTTTCAGTTCTGCACTGAATAGAAATATAACCTATGTGAATTATTGGCCAGAACCTTCAGCCCAATGAAATAAAACCTTCATTTTTATTTTAAATTGATTCAAGAAGTAACTGCCATTAGAAATTACTGGGATCTTTTCAGATTTTAACATTTTCAAAAGTAGCAATAACTGATGCAGAGCTTGTTCTCTTGCTGTTGATACTAACAGTGGCTTTTCATCAGTTGAATAGCCATCTCTGCCTCAAATTTGTTCCTTATCACCTACTTGATATACTGTAACTCCCCAGAGTTCTGAAGCAAATGATTATAGTAAAAAAAAAATCAGGAGGGGAATCTTCAGTGATATCAGATGTAATAAGACTGTAATAATCTTGGCGTGTTTAGTACATGCCTGCCTCTGTGGGGCTGGGTTGAGGAAGAAGCACATTGATCAGGTGCCACTCTGCGCTGCTCATGGTACTAGGTACTTGGTCTGTTATGTATTTGTGTGTAGCTCTAGAAGTCTGTGTGTGCACACACGCTTTAACTGTACACGTGGCAATGCCTAGTAAACTTGCTGAAATAGCAAAGCACAACCCACCTATATGGACATGTCCATCCTCAGAGTATCTGAGGGAGCCCAGAGTAGCCAGTGCTGACTGGCCTTCAGCCAAGTCCTTGGTCAGTTTCTCTAGCCAGCTGTAAACCCACTGCAGATTCCATGATTTTCTACTCTCTTGACCTAAACCAGGAGAATGGAAGATCTCAGAGAAGAAGGGGAAAATTAAGAGCATTTTCTCCACTTGATTTAAACTTTATTTACTCAAAAGTGGGAGTGAATACTAAGCATGGACACAAGTTGCCTCAGGCCACATCAAGAAGTGTCCTGCTGTAGGTGTTCCCGGAGGACCTATGGTGCCCTCTGGGTGAGCGCTTGCACATAGCAGGTGGGCCTCTGCTGTCAAATGTGCCCTCCCTAGAATCCAGCATCAGCTTGAAGGGCATGATTCAGATTTAGCACAATACTGGGCATATATAGTAAGCATGCAATAAATGTTGGCTATTTTAGATACAAATTTTGGTAACAGTAATAATACTATTCAGCTAATCTGCTTTACACCCCTTATTTCTTCCATTTTGAGAATTCTCCCTTAAACTGTTTAACCTGAATAAGAAACCAAACCTGATTATCTAGTCACATTTACACCCATGATTCTACCTCCAATACAACCAAGTCCCAATACCTCAGTATAAGCAAAAACAATTGAAGAACAGAGAAGCCTTAAGAGGCTTTATGAGAAAGCTTTTCCGTTGTTTAGTGTGTTTGTAGAGGGGACAGGTACCGAAGTACCTAGCCAAAATCGTGAAAGAAATGGTCTTCTGGATCATGTGGCATTTCTAACTTCCTAGCTTTCCTTGCGTTCTATGCTGCCTTGATTGAAAGAAGTTTGAAGAAATGCCAAATTCTGTTACTTTAATTTTTATTTTAATTCAACCTTATTAAAAGCATCAAGCACTATACTACTCTCTCAGAACATTTATAGACACTGGGAGAATCTGGGCAAAACATCCTTGTGTAGAAGCTGAGGCCTCACGCTGTACTGGAAAGATGTCTGCCTTCTTCCTGGGAGTTCTGTCACTGCTCACTTGGCAAATTCTGGTCTTGGATATATAGGGGAATTGTTGGAAGGACCATTGAGTGTTACACTTTTGCAACCTCTCAAGGCCATAGGAGTTAGGAAGTAGCACAAGTAGGAAGAAAATTTCCCTAATTTGGGTCATGGAGTGAATCTCCTAATTCAATGCTTGTCTGTGGAACCCTATCCTTAGGAATAAGATTTTTCTTGAATTTTCAAGTTTCACGACTTCTAAAATTATTTTTACTGTCTCTAGGCAACAGAATGTTGATAACATTTCTCAGTATAGGCTGACTCTGACCACATTGTTACTACTTATACCATAAACAGTGTGTAAATATTATCCTTATCAAACATGCATCACATTGTCCCTTTTATTCAATCCAGATTGCTAAATATTTTTGAACTAGTAACCAGTTGCTTTTAGGCACCAATAAATTCAAACAATAAAGACCTCAAAGAAGAATTACCAGTTTCTTTACATGAGCTCCCATTTAGTCCAAGTAGGGAACCGCATCTGGCAGTGACATCCCTACCTATTTTAAGCTATTCACAAATAGCCCTGAATAGCAGACTACAGTAAATGTTTTGATTTTGTATATATCTTCAAATACTTTTGCCTTGGGGTGAATTTTTAATGCTCTCTAATGAAAGAAAACCATTCAATTGTTTAGGCAGTGTTCTAAGGTGAAAATATTTGTTGTATTTTTCCATGTAAATGAATCACCTTAACTGAAATATGGAGTGAGTGGAAGGAGAGAGCCCCATGGTGACCCAAGGCTGAGCTCCATTTCTGAAAGGAGGCCAGCTAATCTCTGAAAGTTCCTGTGTATTCTGTATCCACATATTCTGATATCATAGTGATACCGTAATTTCCAGTTTTCAGGCCTAGTCTCCCAGCCAGGAACAGATCCCTGGCTGCAGTGGCAGCGCTGAGTCCCAGGCACTCAACCACTGCTGGTTGGTGTCTCACAAAGCCACAGCAGGAACTTGGAAGACACTCAGGCAAGCAAGTCAAAAGAGGCTGATTTGTTTAGAGAAAGAAAAAGTTTATTAAGGAGAAAGGGAATAGAAATAACTAAGTCTAACTAAGTCTGTGTCCCAGCCCTTGTCTTAGCATACTTTTCTTTATCATCCTTGTTCTGGAATGTCCTGTTGCCCCTAGTCCTAGGGTGTTTGATTTGTTCCCTTTGGAATTTATTGCCCTTATCTTTGGCACCTCATTACTCCTCCGAGGCTTTTCCTGTTCTATTCTGACCCTAAGGGCTCTCAGCTTGCTCTATGACCCAACAGGATTTCCCCAAACTCCTTTGCGGGAGGCTGCCTCTTTTTTCTGGCAAACTTTGACTGTTACCATGATTATTTTGAGTACTTGTAGTTCTTTGCAGCCGCCAAGAGTGAGTGGAATCTGAACTTCTAGAGAAGTTCCCAAAGTTTAGTTGTTGATCAGAATCCCATTTTTATGCTCAGTTAAGGTATTTATTATTTATCTAATGTATCTCACATGGAAATTAATAATTTCAGGAAATATTTTTGAAGACCTACAAAAAAGATCCCTGGATTATATGTATTAATAGTTGCATATTGCTTTCTTTGCTATTAATAGCAATTATATTGACCCCTCTCCTCCACTGGTTTGCAAATGGGCAAACCAGTGCTCAATATTTTATGGTCAATATAACTTATTTGATTAATTTACATTTAACTGTAGTTACTGTTATTGATTTGTGCAAATAGAAGTTTCTAGGTGGTTTAGATTTGACTAATATCCTATGGTAAGTGCTTTCTCACAGCTGCCTCATTCTCATTTAATTCTCACCACAACTCTGCAAGGTAGATTTAGTTATTCCCACTTTACTGACTGAGAAACCAAGACTCCAAAAAGTTAAGAAATTTTCCCAAATCTCACGGAGCTAATAAACTGGAGAACTTAAGTGAAACCCAGAACTTCTGACTCCAAATCCAGTGCTCTATCCATTGGACCAAACTGCCTTTTTCAGGCCTGAAGAAGTCACAGAGCTTTAAAAAAAAAAAAAAATCAAGCAGTTTCTGTTTCATTGTCCAAGCCATAATCACACCTTACATGTGCTTTCTTACTCATTGACTTGTCACTTAGTGTTATAGTTCAGTACTTCCTGGAAAACCTGATCATTTGCTGCCTACTGCAATGAATGCCTCTAGCCAATGAATGACTTCCCTATTATCTAGCTTAAAGGGTAGATACCAAGCCCATTTATTCTAATAAAAGTCAGGTTATAAACCACTTGTTTTTTTTTTCTTTTCTTTGTTGTTTTTGTTTTTTAAAGTTGCATCTGTTTTGACATTCGTTATCACTTAAATGTAAAGAAATTCCTAACCTATGTCATAATTACATGCTCAGGTTTTTAAACATTAGCTTTTTAATTTTGGTGTCAGAGGATGTTTATTATCTTTAGGCTAAAGTGCCCTTGTAGCAAATTATCCTTAGCTAGTCATTTGTTTTCTATTCTTTTTTCCTTTCTCAAGGCATATTCATTTTCTGTTTGAAGTCTTTTTTTTTTTTAAGATTTATTTATTTATGCATACAAGAGCTGGAGACAGGCCATAGATGTGGGGGGTGAGAGGATCCATCAGAGACAGAGTGGGGGAACAGACCAGGCAGACTGATTGAAATACACTGCTGAGGGGAGCAGCGAGCGAGACAGGAGAGGTCTGCCTTGCCATGTGGGTTGCTCCCTGGCCGGCTGGGGATCGAACTTGTGCTGCCAGGCTGTGGACTGCTTCATATGCGGTGCTTAACCCCTTCCGCCACCAGGGAGGCCCTGTCTGAAGTCTTAAAAAATAATGTCACAGCCTACTCTGACATCATCTAGTCAAATTTCTTCATTTTTATTACTTAGAAAATGAAAGCCAAGGAATAATAAATGGCCTCCAAGGTGACCCAGACAAGAAGCAGTAGAGTCAGAACTAGGAAATTAGCCCCGGGCTCATAGCTGGGAAGGTTTGGATTTTTAAAAATTAATTAATGGAACCACATCTGGCAGTGACATCTGACTATCAGACACTCCCAGTGAGCTCCTGCCGTTCCAGAAAAAAACTGATGAAAACCCAGAAGAAGGTCAATCCCAATTACAGAAACTAGAAAGGACCACTACAGTTTATGAAACATATAGAGGTGGGTCCAGATTGTAGCTCAGTATTTCCCTGGCTTCACTTCACAAATCAGGGGCCTTGTGAATAAGAAATGGAAAGATGTTTAGTGTTTGTTTTCCCCAACCGTGACTCCAGAGCTCCCCAGCCAGAGACCCTTCCTCTTCACCAGATGCCACACTGTGAAGTGAAGATTCTCTGTCCCACCGCCTTCCTTCTCTTTGCCTCACCTCCCCTTCGTTCAGTCCAAGACTCAAGTCCTAAGACTAAAACATGAGCTGAATGCAGAGAGGATCTATTAGAGATATAGTGTATTCTGAGAAAAATGCCCTTTAGGTGATGGCAGAAACAATAAATAACCAGGTAGCAGAACATGCAAGTCACTGTGATCTTTTATGGATGGTGTTGGTTCAGAGATCCAGAAAACCAAGCCATCGTAGGAAGGATGCCTCGCTAATGGGAAGGTGTTGGACTTGAAATTGGACTTGGAAATACGCACATCACCTTACCGTAAAGTGTATATTTGAAAGGGGAATTTGACAAGCACCCAAGTGGGCAGATTACATAGCAAAGGCAAATTCTGGGTCAGGGAAGGAAGCTTAAGAGTGAATGTAGAAAATAAAGCAAAATAGGGCATGTGGGGAAAAAATGTGACTGAGCCTAGGAAAATGAGCAGTTTCTTGAACTCTTGAAAATAAAAGTGGCTTACTTTTAGAATTCTCTTTTGTCGGAGTTGACAAAACAGAAGAATTCCTTCTACACAATAAGTCATTTTAAAAGTGAATGGGTTCAGGAAAAAGGGCAACTGGATAAAAAATGAGGAGGATTAGAAAGAAGAATTTCAAGGAAGCTGAAAACAAGGGCAGATTAAAATCCACATTGGGAGCCAAAAATAACAACGTTGGTGCATAAAACACTCATATCAATCATATAAGGGGCAAACTTGAAATTTTCTTCCTAATGTTCTTTCAGAAGAAACAAAAATTGAAAATAGTGGGGAGAGGTAACGGAAGACAAAACATCAGACTATAAAACAATCTCTCCTGGACAGAATGAAAATCTGTCGATTGAAAGGACTTATTTTATTTCAAGTTTAAAAGGGGGGAAGAGACATGTACCTCAGCACCTCCTGGCAGAGTGTATGATCTACCAAAGATAGAGAAGAAGGCCTGCAGGCATCCGGTCAGAAGGTAACAAGTACCAGAAAATCAGAGCTTTCTGGCTGAAGACTTATACTCTCCAGAGCCAAATGCCAGGAAACGGTAGGGAATCTGGAGGGGCGTGGGGGGGAGTTGTGGCTTTGGACTTTTATACAGGTTTTATATGTCACAATACAGATATTTTGTTAAGACAGACATTCAGGAAAACACCAATGTACTGTTCTTACAAAGATAAGTGTACTGTAACCGACAATGTGTAGTTAAACACAAATTTGGGCTTGTTACCATTTCAGTGGACTCTGAGGTCTTAAGCATCAGGTCGTTACCCACAAGGAGGGTGAGTATACTAAAGAGATGATGCCACTGGAAGTCACAAATGTAAACGTGCCCAAAGTCCCCCCATGAGTAAACGAATACAAGATGATGGACCTAAAAATCACCACCAGCTCACAGCTTGGTGTCTCTTCACTTTTATTACTGAAGGGATGCATGACCATTATAATACAAGTAAGAAATTCAGAGACATTTCTTAACAATTTAAATTACTCCCAATCCCTGCCCCCCCCCATCATTTAAATTGTTCTATCTTGAAAGAATGCAGAACTTCCAAGTGAGAAAAAGCTAGGGGTCCCACCTTGTTCCGGATGTGACAGGCAAGTTGGCTCCATCCAGCCTTCTCAGACTAAAAGCTGATGGCAGGTTGAGAATACAGAATATATATTTGCATTTTAGAAGAGATCAAGAAAACAGAAACTTGTTTCAGAATACAAGGTGAGGGCTTCCCTTCTCTCTGCTTGGCATTTTATGGGATAGTATTTAAATTCAGGTATTAAGGGCATAAAATCAATAGAAGGAAAAATGACTTCTGGAGATGACAGTGTCAATGTTAGCACGAAAGTGGGTGGTTTTGTTTTGTTATTCATACGCTTCCCTGGAAGGACTTGAAAACAAGGCCCGGTATGTGGGCCTTTATGCTCATTGCCTCCCTGGCTGCATTAAGGTTTCATCCCTACCCCGGGATTAAACTCACCCCACTTAAACTCCATACATTTTCAACACCACCAGCATTTTGCTTTACATTTAGCAATAGGATAGCTAATGGGTTGCTTTGCGTTTGCTTATTTTTCACTCTGAAGCACAGCAACCCCTTCCAGATGGAGAGAATCTCTTTTGGAGAAGCTCCAAGGATCACCTTCCCGGGGACTCCTCTTGATTGACTGTGACTGACAAAAACTACTTTAACTACTTTGATACGAAACACGCTTTGATTTAAAATTATAATGTTTTTATATGACTGTATGTTCCAAATGGAGGCAACAAAACTGTGTCTTAATGTCGTCACTGTTCTGGATATGTTTTTGTTTTTGTTTTGTTTGTAATGCAGGGAGATAATCCATCATATCTTAACACTGGAAGCATCATCCTTGAATAGTGTAAGACATTTCAGTACCTTAGATGATCTGATTGTACCTTTTTCAGCACTTGCTTTCTTCCCCAGGGCGACTGCTCGTGGCACGCGTGTGTGTCCATGCAGGGGCACAGAGCAGGAAGCAGGGGTGACATCTGTCATAGAATGTCAGAGTTGGAGGGGGACTTCCCTGTTCATCCAATCCAGCCCTCTAGTTGATAGTCTAGTAAATTGTTAACTATTTGCAAGGTTCTGAGTTGGGTGTTTTTGTTTCTTTTGTTAAGTTGTTTGGTTGGATTTATTATGTACATGCAACTTGACTATTTAACCCAGATTTTTGAAAATAAAAAGTTTAATGTATATTTTATGTCTGTTTTATTAAAATGGCTTAGTTATTTTAACTTAATCAAAAGGATTGTGGTTTCTGAATTTTTTAAAAAGATTTATCTATGCATATAAGATCTGGGGTATAGCCAGAGGTGCGGGGGCGGGGGGTGGAGAGGATTCACCAGAGACAGAGTGGGGAGCAGAACAGACAGACTGACTGAAATACACTGCTGAGGGGAGCAGCAGGCGAGACAGGAGAGGTCTATTGCGCCATGTGGGTCAGCTCCTTGGCTGGGTACTGCAGTAGCTGCGCATTGCTTCATAGTGCTGATGCTTAACCCCTTGTGCCACCAGGGAGGCCTGAATTTTTTTTTTTTTTTTATAGTAGCACATCCTTGGAAGTCAAGTTTTTCTTTGAACCTTTCGATGTTAGGGCATTTTGAACAGTCCTGTGCCTGTGATCTGTGCTTTGACCTGATGCTCTGGGTGATAGTCCTGACCAATTCTGGTTTTCTGACTTGGATTTCTTTTTGTAATTTTTAAAGTAACATTGCATGAGTTGCAGCCTGCATCACCGTGAATCAACATCTGTTCATACCATCAGTACACTAAGTTGGCTTGGATTTATTTCTTCACCCAGCCGCCAAGCACACACTTGCAAAGCTCCCCTGGTGGGAGCATAGTGACCCTTCTCTACAGGCCTCTAATTAATGTCTTTCTGCTCTTTACATGATTTTTTATGGCTTTTGGAGAATACATTTAATCCTAAAAACTTTTTTTAAAGATTTATTTATTTGGGTCTCCCTGGTGGCGCAGGCGGTTGAGCACCGCACTGTGAAGCTGTCCGTGGCTTCTGCAGCGCGGGTTCAATCCCGGCCGACCGGCGAGAATCCCACATGGCGCAGCAGACCTCTCCTGACTCACCCACTGCTCCCCTCGGTAGTGTATTTCTTCAGTCTGCCTGTTCTGTTCCCTGCTCTATCTCTGGTGAATCCACTCACCCTCCTGCGCATCTGGCCTGCATCTTGGTTCTTGTATAAAAACAATAAAAAAAAAACTTAAAAAAATTATTTATTTATGCATACAAGAACCGGGATACAGGCCAGAGATGTGAGGGGTGAGAGGATTCACCAGAGACAGAGTGGGGAACAGAACTGGCATTTTGACTGAAGTACACTGCTGAGGGCAACAGTGGATGAGTCAGGAGAGGTCTGCTGCACCATGTGGGTATCTCTCTGGCCGGGGAGCAAACTCGTGCTGCAGTGGCTGCGGATAGCTTCATAGGTTGTGTCTTAACCCCTTGCGCCACCAGGGAGGCCCTAATCCTAAAATCTTTTAAAACCATTCATAAAAGACAAGTTTTTGAAAAATACTTGCAATCAAGTGGAATGTTCATAACAGTGAGAAGATGGAATGTTTCATAGAGTTTACCAACCACTCCCCTGGCAAATTGATTTCTTCTTGTTTAAAATTTTGATGAAAACTCTAGATCATTTTCTTGGGAAAATGTGTATAAATTCATATGCACACAGCATTTTACATACATAAACCCAGGCTTGAAGACTCCAGCACTAGCCTTTTTGAAATCTATTCTAAAATATTTAAGGATTTGCTTCAAAGTGATCCAGGGGGATAGAGTAGTTGGAAGTGAAGATGATACACTTTGGCTTTGAGTGCATAATTGTTACATCTGTGGGCTTTTGTGTGCTTTATACTCCTCTGTTGTTTGGTATGTTTGAAATTTTTTGTAAGACAGAGTTTGAAATAAACTCACAGGAAGCTCCTGTATGAGAGATTCCACAACCCTCCTCACCAGTGTCAAAGACTCACAGAATCTTCTAGCTGGAAGAAAGGACCTGTGGAAATGTGAGAGTGATGGTGCTGACACAGGTAAGACCATCAATTTAACACCTGCCATCGATGTTCGGGTGAGAACACTGGTTGTAGCTGTAATGGCAAGAAGCAGTGAAATCTGAGTTATGTCTATGAACGTGACCTCATTTGAAGGAGCAAATGGGAGCACTTTTGCTCTCTCCCTCTCATGCTCAATGTAAATCGACGGAAGTCATGGGTGTTGATCCCAGCAGCCTTGAGAGGGCTGTGGTTATGACTTGCAGATTGAGATGTGACCCAAAACGCTGGAATCCTGTGAAGACAGGCACTCTGAGCTGGCAGCTCCATGGTTCTGAGGTAGCACATTGGCCTCTGGGCCTGGAGGACAGACACTGTGTTGCTACGGAAATCTTGAAAGAACAGAAAACCTTCAAGTACCAGCGAGGTACAGGAGCACCCACTGTCTCCTAGTGTTACAGGGCAACCCCGCTATGAAATGGGTGGCCTGACTATGGGTCCTCACCCGTGCACTTAAAGGGACTTATAATAAGACTCAACTGCAGGCACGCACAAAAAGGTTAATAAAGGGTTTATTTACAAAGGAAGGGGAAATGAAGAAATGAATAACTCTGGGAGTAAGAGAGGGAGATAAACTGGTGAATGCGTCCAACCAGTTCCGCTGACCTGGAATCCCAATGGCACGCTGAGAGCCGGCAAAATGCCAAGAGTCAAGTCAAGAGCCAAAAGGCCTCCCCAGGCCCACATGTCTGGTTTTATACCAAACCTGGCTGCTTAACTCCACCCCAGGTCCCAGCAACCCTCCCTTTGGTGATGATGGGGTTCATAATTCCCGGTGTCTTGATGGCTTTGGTCTGGAGAGGGGGTGGAGTCCACAAAGCCTGTGTGGAGTTTGCTCAGGACATCCTTTCCCCTTAACACTAGGTGTGAGACTTCACCTCCCAGTACCTGAAGGAACAATAATTTTGGGGTTATTTCCCCCGTTCCTTCTCCTGTTTCCTGCCCTCTCCCGGCTTAGGACCCAGAGTGCGGGGAGGTACGTATCCTATCCTCCCCAATGTCGTTCATCCTCTTCCTTTTGGTTTCTGTGTTTTGTTTCCTTCTCTGCTTAGGAGCATTTTCACTGCCACTTTTGCTGGTAAGACACCAGGGACAGGACGTGAAAGACATTAAACAAGATGTATTTCAGCAATAAACAAGATTCTTGTATTTCTCAGGGGATCCCAAAGAAATAAGGATGAGAAATAAAAATTCCTGCTGGAGTATTTACAATGTACTCAGCTGTTGAAATGTTCAAAATGCAATCAAGGAAGTAATTTAGCACATTTCTAATACACTTAACTATGGTAATAATGTTTAAGAGTTTGGCCAAATTTAAAGAATCCAGTGAATCTTTTAGTACATTATTAAAGCATCTAACCCTCACCAATAACAAGTGCATTTTGACAGTTAATGCCGTATTTGTGGTCTGTTGTTATTGTCAGTCCCTAGGATAATGGCCCCAAATGGAAAGGATGCAGTTTGTCTTCCCCCCAAGGTGAGCAACAGTGTGATCCAGGTGTTTTTTCTTGTCCTGTGTTCTGAGGACATTGCAGGGTAGGTAGGGTGTAGTCCACGAATGTATTTCTCTTGCAGCCTCATTATTTCTCAATATAACTATCTGGTTAGGGCTATTTCCCAAGTGCTAGTCATTCATGTACCCCCTTTGCAATTTTTGTGCTAACTGGATCCATTTGTTCTACTTGATATTTTCTTTTTTAAACAATTTTTACTGTTTTTTTTTAAAGATTTATTTTCATTTACTTACGCATACAAGAACTGGGTGTAGGCCAGAGGTGCAGGGCAGGGGGGGGGGGATTCACCAGAGACAGAGTGGGGAGCAGAACAGGCAGATTGACTGGAATACACTGCTGAGGGGAGCAGCGGGTGAGATAGGAGAGGTCTGCTGTGCCATGTGGGTCAGCTCCCTAGCCTGGGATCAAACTCCTGCTGCAGTGGCTGGCCATAGCTTTATCATGCTGAGACTTTAACCCCTGTGCTACCAGGAATGCCCTTACTTGATATTTTCTTTTTTTAAATTTTTAAAAAAAAAATTTTTTTTAATGGCTAAGATTTTTTTAAGATTTATTTATTTATTTATACAAGCACTGGGTACAGTCAGAAGCGCGGGAGGGTGAGAGAATCCACCAGAGCTAGAGCGGGGAGCAGAGCAGGCAGAAGGACCGAAGTACACTGCTGAGGGGAGCAGCGGGCAGCAGGAGAGGTCTGCGCGCCATGTGAGACCCTCCTCCAGTGGCCGGGGAGCAGCCGGGGATCGAACCCGCACCGCAGAGGCTGCGGGCAGCTTCGCAACCCAGCGCTCAACCGCTGCGCCACCGGGGAGGCCCTTACTTGATATTTTCTTTAAGTTGATTGATTTTTTCCCTCAAGTTTATTTGAAAACAAAATATACTTTTTTTCTGAAAGCAGGATTCTTGAAGTCAAACTGTTACAGAGCATCCCCGATATAAAACGGGTTGCCTGGGGGCCTCCCTGGTGGCGTAGGCAGTTGAGCGCAGTGCTGTGAAGCTGTCCGCAGCCTCTGTGGCGCTGGTTCGATCCCCGCCTTGCCTTGGAGCAACCCACATGGCAAGCAGACCTCTCCTGTCTCGCCTGCTGCTCCCCTCAGCAGTGTATTTCGTCAGTCTGCCTGTTCTGTTCCCCACTCTGTCTCTGGTGAGTCCTCTCACCCTTCCGCACATCTGGCCTGTACCCCGGTTCTTGTATAAATAAAATAAATCTAAAGAAATAAAAATAAAAAAAATAAAATGGGTTGCTTAAAGGGGATTTATAATGCCAAACTGTAGACACCCACAGATAAAAGGTTTATTTACAAGGGAAGGAGAAATAGGGAAATGAATAATTCAGGGAGGAAAAGAGGGAGATAAGTTCATAAATACATCCTACCCATTCCACTGTCCTGGAATCCCAATGACCCACCAAGCTGGCAAAAAACCAAGCATGCCACGTGGCCAACAGGGTGACCCCTGGCCACATGGCCAGTTAAATACTCTACCCAAGAACCTAGTTGCTTAACTCCTCCTTGCAACCTTCCTTTTGGGGATCATGGGATTTGTAGTTCCCAGTGTCTTAATGGAGTGGGGGTGGAGTCCACAAAGCATGTATGGAGTTTGCTCAGGACATCATTTCCCCCTAACAAAACCACTTGAGTGTGCATTCCAGTCTGCTTCTTAGTAATTCTATGACCTTGGGCAAATCTCCATGATTAGTTTCCATTATTTAATCATTCTCCTATTTTAATATCCTTTGACTCTTACCTTCCCGTTCTCTGCACTGCCTCCAGCTTTGTCTGCCCACACCATTTTGCCCCATGATTATTTCAAAGCTTTCTCTTTGGTCTCCTTGAGTCCATCCTCCACCACTTCCTGGAGAAATCTCACTAAGTACCAATCTTGTTCTATTCTTCCCCTTTAATTGCTCTTTACAGCCTTTGATAAAGCTCCACAGCCTCTACCTAGATGGCGGGTTCATCCTTTTACCTCATTCCCTCATTGTGCTTGCTTCTCCCCTCACCCTCTGCCTCTTCTCCCTTCCTCCTGCTTCTCCACCTTCACCCTATTCTTTTGTGAAATTCTTACACATGCTGCAATTCTCATCTACACTCCTGTTGTACTTGTGAGCCCCTTCTCTGTGGATCAGCCAGTGGTCTTGGACTCTGCAGCCTCAGAAACTGGCACTCGTGGGCAGAACCTGCACGCTCTTCATGATCATCCTGTAGGGCAGCTCCCCTTTCAAGGAGCCAAGAGCAGCAGCTTTGTTCTGCAGCATTTGATTCATAAAGTGTAGCTCATCTGGGCAAGCCCAGCTCTTTAAAGGTCTTCACCTCCCAGGATGAAGGGCTGTGCTTCACTCGTGGCTCCTTGGAGCCTGTTTATTCACTACTGGATGTTTTTCTAGGAGAACTTGAGTTAATAGGTTCAGTAATGAGGAATTAGCACTGGCACACACTCCTGTTTTCTTAACAGAACCAGAGCTGCTAACTCCACTGTATTTGCTATAATATTGCAAGGCTCCCAACCTCTTGGGAGACTCTCCATAGTAATAACATCTGTGGCACTGAGATTTCCAAAAACCTGCATTGGAGAAGAAGCCAGTGAGGTAGCAGCTAAATTCCTGCACTGAAAGGATTTTAGCAAGGCTCACACGGCTGGCTGCACCTCAGGGAGACTAGGAATCCCCTAAAATGACCACATCTACATCTCACTTGGGAGTGAGGGTCTGCTTCTGAGAACTGTGATGTGCCAGTTTTCCCTTTGGCTGGTCAGACAGTTCATTTGTTCATTAGAATGTTTGAACACTTGCTGTGATGTGCCAGGCACTGCCCTAAGCACTAAGGATATATTACCAGTGGGAAAGAAAAAAGCACATAAAAGTATCTGCACTCATGGTACTTAAATTCCAGAGGGAAATGGCAGACAAAAAAATTGAAATAAGAAAGTAAATTACATTCTGTGTTAGATGGTGCTAAGTGCCATAGGGGGCAATTAAGCAGGCTCATACTTGGGGAGATGAAATTTTAAATAGGGTGGTCCAGGAAGGCATGGTTGAAAAGACGACATTTGAGGAAAGATTTCAGGTGTTGAGGAAGCAATCTATATGGGCATAAGGAAGAGCACGCCAGGCAGATGGAACAGCAAGTGCAAAGGCCTGGAGATCACAGAGGTATCCAGAGGATGAACTCTTCAAAGTTGCTGTTGCCTAACATTAAGGCACACACAGAGGAAGGAAAACGCCATCACCTTCCTGCTGAGTAGAAGGGCTGAGCATCTCAGGTCAAACCATTACCAGTTCAATGAAACTAGGCTAGTTTGTCTGACCAGAGCCACATAGAAAAAAGATATTGCTGAGGCTCGGGGATTAACATCTGTGTATCATTCAGACCTGCTAGTTCCACAACTGGGTAGAAGCACATATAGGTTGGGCTCAAATTCCAATTGTCATTGGCCATTTGCAGTAGATCAATAGCCTCTCAGTAGAAGAGCTTAGTAACTAAGGAATTTCACTTTGTTTTCAGCTATGTTCTTTTGTTCCAACAAACTGACGATCAAAAAAAATTGACATTTTGCATATTTTGCATATTTGTAATCCATTGTAAAGATTTTGGCTTTTATGTTTAGCAAAATGGAAACGCGTTTTTTTTAAAAATGGCACAGTATTAATTACATTTAAAATTTTTATTGTGGTAAAATACACATAACATTGACCGTTTTAACCTTTTAAACATAAAGCAGTTCATTGATACTAAATACATTCACATTGTTGTACAACCATCATGCCTATTCATTTCCAGAAGTTTTTCATCATCCCCTATTTAAAATTTTGGACTCATTAAGCAGTAATTCCTCATTTCCCCTTGGTTACCACTGTTTCACTTTGTCTTTGAATTTGCCTGCTGTAGATAGCTATATAAGCGGAATCATAGGGTATTTATCCTTTGTGTCTGGCTTACCTCACTCAAGGTCTTCAAGGTTCATCCGTACTGTTGCATGTGTTGGAATTTCCTTTTTAAGGCTGAGTAATATTCCAGTAATATTCCATTCCATTGTATGGATACTTTTCTGTTCATCTGTTGGTGGACATTTGGGTTGTTTTCAGTTTTGGCTATTGTGAATAATACTGTGCTGTGAATATAGGTGAATAAATATCTCTTCAAGTCCCGGTTTTCAGTTCTTTGGGGTAGATGCCCAGAAGTGGAATTACTGGATAATTGTTTAATTTTTTGATGAACTGCATAGTTTTTCATAGCTGGAAAGTTGCACTATTTACATTTCCAACAGTGTGCAACAATTTCTTCACACCCTCACCAACATTTGTTTCCTGTTGTTTAATGGTAGCCATATTAATGGGTGTGAAATTCTTAGGGTTTTTGATTTGCATTTTCCTAATGATTAGTGACACTGAGCATCTTTTCATGTGCTTCCCTTATAGTTTCAAGCATTCTGACTGCTGTGTTGAATATTCTCAACTGTGGGGTGAGATGAAGGCAGGGGAGAAACATGGAAGAAGAAAGATCAGTTAGAAGCCTATTAGAGTAGCTTACATAAATGATGGTGGCGTGGAACATGGTATCAGTGGAAGTGTTAAGAATTCCTGGCATTCAGGCTAGAGTTGATAGGACTGAGTCTAGAATGACTCCTATGTTTGTGGTTATGCAAATGGCCATTTACTGAGATATAGCGAGATGCTGGGGGAGGAGTATGTTGAGAAGCTCAGATATCAAGGGTCTGATTTTGGACATGTTGCCTATTGAACTTCCAAGTGGAGATGTCTTGCTGTCAATGGATGGGTGTTTGGACATAAAGGGTGTTGGCTATCTTTTTGCTGCATGACAAACCACCCCAAAACTCAGAGGTTTAAGAGAGTAACAGTTTATTATTGCTTACAATTCCATGGGTTGAATGGGCTCAGTTGGCCAATTCTGTTGTGTGTGGCATCATTTAGAGTCATTCATTTGATTGCATTCAGCTAATAGCTGTTGAGCAGGAAGGTCCGTGGTGACTTCACTGTGCCTGGCAGCTCAGTGCTCCACCATGTGGCCATTCCATGTTCAGGCGTCCTCACAGCTTATGGCTACAGGGAGTCTGACTTATATAGTGGATGGCTTCTCCAGAGAGAACAAGAGCAGAAGCTGTCAGTTCTCTTAAAAGATAGGTTTGAACGGATGTAGTGTATCTTCTGTCACTTCCTATTTGTCCAAACAAGTCACATGGCTAGCGCATATGCAAGGGACCTTTTGATGAGAACAGTGGCATATGATGGCAGCCATCTTTGAAGTATAATCACAACAGACATCAAGGTTGGCGATACAAGCTTGAAAGTAATCAAAGACAGTCACTACTTAAGACCATGGTACTGAATAACATCACTCAGGGAATGACTGCAGCTAGAAAAGAGATGGAAAGACTAACCTAGGGTATTCCAATGCTTGGCATTTGCAGAGCAGCTGGCAAATGAGACTGAGAAACAGCCAATAAGGTAGGAGGAAAACCAGGCGAGTGCAGCATTGCTGAAGACAAGGTCAGAGAGCATTTCAAGAGGGAGTGATCGGTTGTGGAAATGTTGCTGAGAATTCAATTAAGACAAGGGATGAAGCTACAATTGGATTTGGCCAAGTGGAGATAACTGGTGATTTTACAAGAAAACCTCAGTGGATTTGTGGAGGCATAAGCTTGACAGGCCTGCGTTCCAAAGAATGAAAATATATATATAAAATATATATTATATGTATACATACACAATTTATTATATATGTTTCATATATACATATGTGTGTGTATATAGACACACACACATACACACACACATATCCTGGAGTCTTACTTGAATAATACGTTCAATCTTGAACCAATTCCTGTGGTCTATGAAATACCATGTGCTGACGGGCAGTGGCCAAAAGGAATTACCCTGATGGGGTTGACGCATGTAAGACCCACTGCTTTTGCTGGGGCAGAGTCCACTTCCCTTGAAGCTCACTGGCTGTACTGGGGGAGGGGTGGACCCAATGAAAATCTAAACATCACTGGGAAGGAGGAAAGGAAGAATCAAAGCTGAGATTACTAAGAATACCCACTTCACTGCCTCACTGAACTGCCATGAAGGTGAAATGAATACTCTGAGAATGCTGTCTTTTTTCTCTAAAAGGCTCTAGGGGGGTAGAGATATAGGAGAGAAAAGGTAGACGATGAGAATTTGGAGGTAAGGGTGTAAAAACTGAGATGAGACCGCAGAGCTAAACAGGACTGGAGTTGGGGTGTTGATGTAAATTGAACACACCTGATACTGACTTTGCACTAGAAATCAAGAATAGTAGTCTTCTGGTGCCTCAAAAGCTCCCCTTCCCAAGCGCTGATGAGGGTCTAATTGACTTATCACTATGCTTCCGTTCAGAAAGGTCCTACAGCTTCCAACTGTGTACCATTGTCCCCCCCTAAGTGTGCCCACTGCAGACTGTCAGATTCTTGAGGATAAATTCTCTTTTACCTATTTGCTCATTGAAAAAACAAATGTATCTACTTGGTACCAATCATTGTGCATTCAGAGTAAGGAAAGCAACCCGCAGTTACAGGTTGAGGGTAATGCTGTTGCAGGGGGCTGGTGCTAGAGCTGATGGGGTCCTGGTAGTGGGCTGAAAGGCAGTAATGAACTGACGCTCTCTCGATTGGTCTTCTGTTCTCACCCTCAAGTCAGTGGACCTTGAAATTCATAAAAGGCTGCATTTTGTTGCTAAAGTGATGAAGCAAAGAACTGAGACAACTTAATGAGACAGCTCAGAGACTGTTGGGGGCAGGGGAAAACTTCTGCATTTGAAGTGATTTGAGTCCTTTTGGTTTTTATTCCAGAATCAAAGCACTATTATCTGTATTATTTAGCAGTAGCTTTCAAAACTTTTTGCCATGATACACCATTAAAACCTTTTATAGCATGATCCAGGTCGTATATATTCACTAAATATTTCTTCATTAAGTAGATACTAAATGCTATTCTAAGTGGAATACAGTGATGAGCAAAGACAAAAGGAGAGGGAAACAAAACCCTTGCCCTTAAAGAACTTAAATATCTGTGGAACAAATAGTAAGCAAAGCAAGTAAAATACTCTCACACAGAAACAGGGATTTGAGAAACAAAACTTCTATTGCTGCATGAGACAAATGCTGATGTGTTTAACTTTTCCAAGGGCGGGAAGTGCTGGCTGCACACTACTGAAGCATTAAGTTGGCTTCTCAATTCAGTAAGAGGTTGAGACCAGAAGAAACTTTGAAAAGGGAGATGAACTTTTATTAGATACTTGAAAAATATGTCTGCACCGTTTTATAAAGTAGACAGTATCCAATTACTATTTTACAGATGAGATGGTGTCATGTAAAGAGAGGTTAAGTGACCCAAATTCACCCACCTCAAGGCTTCTCAGTCCACTGCTCCCTTTCTACTATCCACTGCAGTCCTTGCAACTGTCCTCGCTCCTACTTCTCTTTGATTAGGAAATCCTGACCTTTGCTTGGATCAGCTCTGCCCTTCCCAGCCAGGCAAAATCACAGCAATACCCCAGGCCTGTTCAGACTGCTGCCTGCTCCCAACACCTCTGTGTGCCGCTCCCTCCCTCTGGCTTCCTCACCTAAGGTTCCTGCTGCACCTCAGTCAGCTCCTCGCCACTGACAGACATCTATAAAGAGCAGGCTGCACTCATCATTCCGCCCCCAAGCACAAAGTATTAATACTTATATATGGAATCAAATTGAATTTGCAGGTGACTCAAAGAAAGGTATGTGCTTACTATCCCGCACTGTGGGATTTAGGTAGCATCTATTTAAAAGGCTAAGAAACTAGAAAAGATGCCACTGGAAAAAAGATCTCTTTACCTAGGTTATAAAAGTCACATCAGGAAGAGGCTTCAAAAGTATAAAAACTAAATCCAAATTTCTTACCTCCCTAGTACAGTAGATAGACTTAGATTCATGGCAGTAGGTCAAATTAATTCATAAAAAATGAGGGCCACAATAAGGAGGGCCAAGGAATACTGGGATGGACCTGAGGCAGGAAAGGAGCTGGAGGCCCCAGAACTCAGCACCCCCACAGCAGGAGTAAGTGCACCTGTGCAGTGGAGGTGACTGTCACAGTGAGGACAGCCAACAGCCTCCCCCAAATGAAGAAAATCAGTCCAAATATTCAAACTACACGGCACAGCCATGCCTATAATTGTCCACTTCTGCTTTAATTAGTTTGGGTAAGATAGGAGTGTGTGGTTGGTGCAAATATTTTAGGGAGGGAGGGAGGGAGAAAGGAAGGCAGGAACTCTTTGGAAAGGGAGATGAACTTTGATTAAATATTGACCCAAACTGGGAACTGATTTTAAGTTTAAACTTCCCCTTACCATCAGAGAGGAAGGACTCAAGGTCAAGATGAGTTCAGTTATAAGTAGTCATATAAAGTGCTTTATCTGTGATATAGTATAAAATAATTCAATTCTATTAAAAGTTTAAAAATGTAGGTTTTTTTTTTTTTTTTAGCAAATGACCTCTACGTTCCAGGGATCTACAAATCTGTGAATTTATAAATATGTGAATATTGAATTCTCCAACCCACAGTTTTTAGACTTTATTTTCAAGTAGAGATTCAAATTCTGTAGGCCTGGGGTAAGGCAGTGGGGATTGCATACTTAAATAAGCATTTTGGATCTCAGATTCTATTAAAGATGTGTCAGGTTGAGAAACTTACTTAAAACTCCTTCCACCTTAAAGTAATTTAAAAGGGGCTCAACTTGCATACATTTTAAGTCAGATAAAACAGTCAAACCCATGCAGGCACACAATTCATGTAGTAATACTAAATAAGAGCATGCATAAATTTGAAAACCACATTTTTTATCATCATTTTTAATAGCATTTAGTCACATCATTTATAGTGGTAGAGTTTATAAATGATGTTAAGATTGATAATTTAGTCTTGGGCTTTAAAATTGACAATAGAGGAACCAATGATGAGTTAAAGGATATTTCCGGATGATATGTCAACTATAAATTCAAAAGATACACTGATATCAGTTCTATAAACAGCAAATATGAATGTTATTTAAGCCTCTTGGTTCACATTTTTATAAAGCACCCTCATTCTTTAAAGTTAAGTACTATAAATGGCTCTTGAAAGTCTACTGTGGACATGATATAGTAAGACAACTAGATGGGGGTTGCAGGTACATTATGTGACCATCTAATTCAGAGTCTGATTAAGATTAGAAATCAAACTGCATTGCAAAAAAGTCTGTCACAGGTAGCATGAGCACGTCCTCAGGTAACACAGCTTCCAAAGCTCTCATCATCCTGTTCACTTTCCTTTTTTTTTCTTTGACTTGCACATAACTTTCTTTTGACAGAAGCAAAAAATATAAAAGTTCACCAAAATCCTGAAAGTCACAGTCTGGATAGCACTGAATGATAGTAGCTTTGGCATTTGATATTACAAAGTCACTTTCATTGCAAATACTTTCTTCATTCTGGGTCAAGGCGAGGTAAAACAGGGAGAATAAGATTCCCAAATGCTGAGTCTTGAGTTATGAAGTATCCAGATGAATGTGCATGTGCATGCTGGGAAAGAGTTAAAAAAAAAAAAGGCAATTAAGCTATTAATTCTTCAAACAAGGCATAAAAATTACTTATCCTTTCCCTTATTCTTGGGACCAAATTTATTGTAAAAATCAGTTTTTATGCTGCTAATTTTGTTTAAATACACAGGAGACGGACAATAAAGAATTTATATTAACCAGTTGCACCAGGTACTCATTTATCATCCCACTCTGTCCCCTGTGAGTCTGTTCAGTCAATAAATGAGTGGAAGACATGAATTACTTTGTTCCTTGGTGTGGGTACAACTAGCAACAGAGGTCCCTAAGTGCTCTGCTCCGGATCAGAAACAGTTGAAAGAGCAGCAGTTGGAAGGAGAAGGGGTAAAGGCAGCTGGTCAGTGGTGATTGAGATACCAACATTTTGTACAGAATGTTGACATGTAAGTAACAGAAAACCACCAGTGGCTTCCCTCTGTCACTAAGGAAAGGAAGGCTGTTTTTAGGTTGTCTAAAGTGAATTAGTATTTAATGTCCCTTCCAATTCTGAGAGTCTAAGGTTTAAAAGAAAAAGTACTAATGTCATCTTGTCCCAGATCTCTGGGAATCTTAGTTAAATTAGCCAAGATCAATGTAATATTAAAAGGCCATTACTATGAAGAACAGTATTTTTTTAAACTGATTATTACTTTGCTATGGTAAAAGTCTTCAAGTATTTTCTGCAAAAACAGATCTGCTTACCATTAAAAGGAATCCAAACCATAAAAAACCAGTGAGATGAGCAAACGATTTAATGGTGTGACAAATATGGGGGGATATGTACTACTAAACTGGGCAGCTCAGTTTTTAGGATCATTCTGTCCACTCTAACATCTAAATCATTTTGTGCACGAGCAACCCCTTGCCACGTACAGCACTGAATCAGTCACGATTGCATCAGCACCATAAAGCATACTTTCATTACTGCTGTATCGGTCCTTCAAATCCTTTGGGCACGACTGAACATCAACAAACCATTGCAATTATGCGTGGAACACGTTTATTGATATTGTTCTACTGAAATACAACATGGGCACTGTGCTGGTTTCCAACCCAGGAAATCTCCAATGGGACGAGAGTGTCAGCTGTGCTTTGCTCACCTGTAAAGCTGCCTTCTGTTGGGCTGCGATATGCTGTTGCTCTGCATGGTCCCGGAAGTCCTTATTAAGAGAGGGTCTCGAGAGTGAGAGGCTAAAATGGGAACCTTAGTTACTTGGCTGTATAAGGCAAAGATTTCGTTACTTATGAGTCACGTTTTTCATGATAAAGTCTTTATAGGGGTAAAAAAGAAAAAAAAGGCCTTCCAGAGTAAGTCTTTTTCCTTTCCCCAATGCCTAAATTAATTTCTATGAAGAAAGCCTGTGTTATTTACTGGGGCTTTAAGTGATCTCCTTTTGATAACTTATGGCATTCTGTGAACTGACATTCACAGATTTGAGGTAATCGGTCTACACAAAGTAACATTTATGATGCAAACATTTATGATGCAAACCATAGAGCTTGCAAAAAATATAGCATGCAAAAAGGTCCAGAGCAAAAGAGCTTGATGTGTTTGAAGAAATCAGAGTAGGCTGGGCTGGAGGTCAAGTGGATGGGTGAAGTGGATGGGTGGACTGGGTGAAGTGGGCTGGCAAAAGATAAGGCTGGCAAGGAAGGCCTGGATATGGAGCCTTGTGAATTAAGAAATGTAGACCTGAACACTAAGAGAGACTTCCAAACAGTGTCATAAGCAGAGGAGTATCTACACTACCACCAAGGCAGACAGTGCTGGTCACCTTCTCAGTAACTGTTCATTGGTCTTGCTAATGAAACCCAAACTTAGTTCAGTTATTGATGGCCTGTGCTTCAGAACAGGGCAGGCTCAGCACCCAGAGAGTGGACACTGATGAAAGACAATGCCATTCTCCTCACTGGTTTCTGGTTGAGGCAAGAGAAAGTCACACAATTCTGGGCAACTAGACTAGATGGGAGGTCTATTGGAAAGCTTCTGAGAACATTTTCTTCACTCTTAGAGAGGGACACAGGAAAGGAACTTCTGTGGCTTTTGCCTCTAGTGGGGGCTTGATGTGGAGGTGGTGACTTAGACTACTGCAGTCATATGTTGACCATTAGGGACCTACTGACCCCTGGAGAAAGGCAGAAAGTGCTGTCACTCTTGGGCCACTGTAGTAAGCCACTCCGGAATCACATTCCTGCCTCACATATATCCCAATGCTCATGCCAATTGTTAGCTTTCTGTTATTTCCAAAATAAAACATCCTAACTGACACTACTGAGGACTTAAGACTATGGGAAATTGAGTGAGGAAGCAGTTACAGGAACAGGCAAAAAATGAGACTGGCCAGGACCAGGGCAGCAGCAGCAGCAACGAAAACTTCAGACACATTCAAAGTATAAATATGAGAGAATGGTAACTACTTGGAGGTGGAAGTGAAATAATAATAAACAATTAAAGTTCATGTTTCTGACGTGGATAACTAGTAGATCTGTACCATTCGCTTACACAAAACAGCCCAAGAATATTAAGCAGCTAGTTAGAGAGAAGGAAAGTTGTCAGCACATAAATAACAGGTTGTGAAAGGTGATGCAACTGGCCAGTGGAAAGGGGCAGCCTGGGAAAATGGGTGTAGAACACAACTCCTAGGACTATCGACACTCAAAAGACAGGCAGTGAGAAGTATCTGCAAGAGAAGTTAAGATTGTACAACAGTAAATGAATGGACGCCAAATAAAGTATTTAAAAAATGAGGAAGTAACTAGTGGTGTCAAATAATGCTAACATGTCTAACAAGAAAAGGACTTTGGTCCACCAGATTTAGCTACAAAGATGTTAAACCTGTCAACCAGGAAAGAACCTATTCTTTGGTAGGGGAAAGGGAGTGTGGCCTGAAGTCAGACTGTGGTGAGTGGAGGAGTAAAAAAGGTAAGAAAGCAGAGATGAGTGTAGACAACTCCTGTAAATGGTGGGGAAAAGATAGGGTTGTAGCTGAATGAGACAGTGTATCTGAAGGGAAAGATTAGTAAACTGAATACATTTAAGATCATTAAATCACCTAAATTTTACCTACTCTGCAGAATGTTTAAAAAGTGAAACATTAGTCATAATTTCAAGAACAAACACCATACAAAACCCTTTTCTTTTTTTTGAAAGTGGGCTATGGGAAAAGAAAAAATATTCTGATAAAAATATTTAAAATCAAGTTAATGAAAAAGTCTAATTTTCTTCAACCCCAATTAAGAAAAAAAACAACATATAAATTCCAATGTCAGGCCTCCCTGTTGGCACAAGGGGTTAAGATGCAACCTATGAAGCCATCTGCAGCCACTGCAGCAAGAGTTCGATCCCCAGCCAGGGAGCTACCCACAGGGCACAGCAGACCTCTCCTGACTCACCCACTGCTCCCCTCAGCAATGTTCAGTCTATCTACCTGTTCTGTTCCCTGCTCTGTCTCTGGTGAATTCTCTCACCCCACCCCCCACACCTCTGGCTTGTACCCCAGTTCTTGTATGCATAAATAAATAAATCTTTAATAAAAAAAAAATCCAATGTCAAAGAAACCAATCCTTGCCAACCAGTTTGGGTTGTTTTGTCCAAGATATTTTTTATATCACTGAATATAAAACCCACATTATTTTTCAATACCTAGCTCCAGGATGATTTGTTGAAGATTGGTTCTGCATTAGTAACTTTCTTTTCTCTTTGTCCAGTTCTGCCAAGATTGCAACTCTATTTTTGTTTTGAAAACCTAAAAAGGGAAAAGGGAAGAGAAATAAGGAACATATTAGCACTTTTATATATCTAGGTCATCTAGAAACCCAGAAACAAAATCCAATTCTTGAACATAAGGGACTCACTGTAGTTTCCCTAATGGTTACAATTTCCTACTGCCTACTTCTCAGCAACATACAATACATGGGTAAGTGCTGAAGTTAATACTGACTGAGGACTTTAAAGATGTAATTCTAAATTTTAATCACCAAAGTATAGATAACAGCATTTGTTTAACAAAATTTTTGACCAGTCTCTATCCTGCTCAATTCCTGGGAGTGAAGATTTACTGCGTTTTCCGTTTTAGGCCTCTTTGTGAGTGCCTCTTTAGTGGGGGCGGGGAAAGCATTAGACTACTCTGATCAAAACAGTGTATATTTTTCTCAACTTCTTTCACTCAGAAATGGCAGTTTTTCAAGGGAAAAGTTTAGGAATTGAAACAGACAAAAAAGAAATAGAGCTAACTGCCAGGGAATACAAATATCAAATACTTAGTATCAGGCTTAATACTTAGGGTGTAAGCTTCACATTTATGGAAGATCTAGACCAGATGTTGCATAATCCTGGCCCAGAGGTTGCATGCAACTACTTTGAAAAATATGAATTAAATGCCAACATGTAAACAGGAGAGAGTATATAAAAAGGTCTGACTTCCTGCTTCTCTTGAAACATTGTAAGATCTGGCAACAAGCATCTGAGTGCCCTACTGGCAACAATTATACACAACTAAGCAGTGTTTGTTCCCTGACTCTCTCAGACCTCTTTACACCTAGAGGCATTGGTTTTGGATCCCTAGTTTAGAACAAAACAAATGAAAAAATTTCAGGATTGAAAACAGATCTAAGGGATGAAATAGCTACAAGAAAGAATGAAGATGGGGTGGGATGGTGCCTTTTTTAGGCAGGAAGATGTAAGCATTCCTCCAACTACCCAAAGAGGACTCATTTGTGCCTCAAAAAAAGGTCCAAGATCTCTTAGGATGAGTCCATTAAAAATGTAAGTTGATCATCCCTTTTCACTTGGTATCAGAAAATTGGTTAGTGATGTGGATTCTGACTTGGCAGTCTAATTACTGCAAACCAGAGGTTTCCAAACTTTCTCTGTTCACAAAGCCCTTAATATTTCAGTAGTTTTTGCATGGTACTCTCAGGCCAACAGAAGTATCTAATGATTCTGTTTATTAAGTAGTCCTAACAGCTTGCAGTTGTTTTTAAAAAGAATTCAAATCGAAAATATTTAATTTCATCTCTAAATAACCACAACAGCATACTAATAAGGTATGTGTCCCTGGGCACTGTCTAACTTTTCAAACTCTGGAGTCAGTTCAGACACCACCATCCTCATTCCCTGTTCTAGTGTCACACAGTGTTGTTGCTGTTTTAAATCAACATAATAGTCAACGTCTCAACTTCACAAAATGTGATATCATTGAAAGGAATATAGCATATCAGTGAAACTGTAAACTACCTCAAACTAATTCACATGTGCCCAATGAATGACAAGTATTGTTTACCTCAAGAACTTAATTTTGGAACTATTTAATATCAAAGCTGAATAAAAATGTTTTCCTTAATACTATGCAATGGACAGAAAAATAGTCAAACGCCTTACCTGTATGTGAAATATAACCAAACTATTAATGAAAACATATGTAAAAAGAAATAAAGAATCTATCACTTAAGAATACTGATTTTATACATAGTCCTGGGTGTTCTGGGGCCTGAATATTCAAGACAATCATGCATTAAATTTATGTAATAGTTACTTGAAAATCTGTGTATTTTACGTATGAATGGGTATTGATATGGACCCTTATATTATAAATCTATTTCTGATGACCCCCCCCAAAAAAAAAGAAATTAATTTTGGATTGGGCCTCTAGGTTTCTTCATGGTATCCTAAGGCATTATGGTGCATCGTTTGCAAATCACAACTTTAGACCTTTACTTCAACTACCACCAAGCAACTGAGGAACAACTTCTTTTCCATTTTATCAAGGCAATCTACCAAAGGGACTTAAAAATTCAGTACTATACAAATATAAGCCATAAACAAATACTTCCAACCATTAAATTTCTAATGGATTTGGAGACCTAGAATCAGAATTACCATCATATACCACAAGTACTAACTCATATTTATACAATTAGTAATACTATGTAAACACAACCACTTTAAGAGAACTTGTATGTATTAAGCTTATTATCTATATATGACCAGTCCGCCTACAAAAACCACAATTTCATATATTTTGTAATCATACATATCTTTCTTGCTTAGGTCAAGAAGGAACAGCCCTATTTATTTTTAATATTTTATTTTATATAATTCTTACATTTTTCATTTTTGCACAATGTATGCATTTTCATTTTGGTTATATTCCCCCCTTATTTTGACCCTAATCCTTCCTCTCCCAGCCACCGTCCCAAGTTCCCCACCGCACAGTGCGTCTCTGGCCCATAGTTGCTTGTTGATTTTGATTTTTACTTTGTATTGATTAGTCTTTTTCCTGGTCCCTTATTTAGGTTTTCTAAATTCCTGCTGTGAGTGAGACCATCTGGTGTTTTTCTTTTTCTTTCTGACTTATTTTGCTGAGCATGATCCCTTCTAGCTCCATCCATGTTGCTGCAAACTGCATATGTTTATCTTTTTTGATTGCTGAGTAATATTCCATTGTGTATATGTACCATATCTTCTTGATCCAGTCATCTATTTTTGGGCATGTGGGTTGTTTCCAAAGCTTAACTATTGTAAATAGTGCTGCTATAAACATAGGGGTGCAGGTGCCCTTTTGAATTAATGTTTCTGTGTCATTTGGGTATATACCTAGGAGTGGAATTGCTGGATCATATGGAAGCTCTCTCTTTAGCAGGTTGAGGAATCTCCACACAGCTCTCCATAGTGGTTGGACCAGTTTGCACTCCCACCAGCAGTGCAGGAGAGTTCCTTTTTCTTCACAACCTTGCCAACATTTGTTGTTGCTAGTTTTTTTAATATGTGCCATTCTCACTGGTGTAAGATGGTATCTCATTGTAGTTTTGATTTGCATTTCCCTGATTACAGGTGATGTTGAACATTTTTTCATATGCCTATTGGCCATTTGCATTTCCTCTTTGGATAAGTTTCTTTTTAGCTCTTCTGCCCATTTTTTGACTGGATTATTTTCTTTGTTGTTGTTGACTCTCATTAGTGTTGTATGCAAAAATTTTCTCCCAGTCGGTGGGGTTTCTCTTTGTTTTGGTTATTGTCTCTTTTGCTGTGCAGAAGCTCTTTAATTTGATGTAGTCCCAGTTGTTTGTCTTTGCCTTCACTATCACTGCTTTGGGTGATGTGTCTGTAAAGATGTCTTTGAGGTGCATCTCCTATAGTGTTTTGCCTATATTTCCATCTATTATATTTTATGGTTTCATGTCTTATGTCTAGTTCTTTAATCCATTTTGAGTTGGTTTTTATGCATGGTGTGAGGTAGTAGTCAAGCTTCATTCTTTTGCATGTAGCTACCCAGTTTTCCCAGCACCATTTATTGAACAAACTTTCTTTGTTCCAATGCATATTCTTTGCTCCTTTGTCAAAGATTAGTTGACCATAAATCTGTGAATTTATTTCTGGATTTTCTATTCGTTTCCATTGGCCCATGTGTCTGTTCTTGGAACAGCCTCATCTAAAAAGAATTTCAGGCCTCCCTGGTAGCGCAGGGGTTAAAGACAGTGCTATCAAGCTATTGCTAGCCACTGCAGCACAAGTTGGATCCCCAGCCAGCCAGGGAGCAACCCACATGGCGCAGCAGCCCTATCCTGCCTTGACCACTGCTCCCCTCAGCATTGTATTTCAGTAGATCTGCCTGTACTGCTCCCTACTCTCTGGTGAATCCTCTCACCCCCCCTCAACTCTGGCTTACACCCAGTTCTTGTATGCATAAATAAATAAATAAATCTTTTTTTTATAAAAAGAAAAAGGAAAATAATTTCATGCATGTTTGAAAATCAGCATAGGTAGGCCTCCCTGGTGGCTCAGGGGTTAATTCTCAACTCTATCAAACTATCACCAGCTAGCCACTGTGGCATGAGTTTGATCCCCAGCTAGGGAGCAAGCCAATAGGGTGCAGCAGACCTCTCCTCTCTCGCTCACTGACCCCTCAGCAGTGTATTTGTGTAGATCTGCCTGTTCTGCTCCCCACTGTTGTCTGGTGAATCCTCTCACCCCTTACACCTCTGCCCTACCCCCAGTTCTTGTATGCATAGATAAATAAATAAATCTTAAAAAAAAAAAAAGAAAGAAAATCAGCACAGGTAGCTAACTACATATTACCATGGAAATCAAATATGAAAATCAGTAACCATACACTTTAAAATATTAATATAGTTTCTATTATCAATATTCTTTAGAAGAGCTATATATCTCAATGTATTTAATACCTTATGCTAAACCTGCTATTCAGAAAAAAACAAATCAGTATAAGTAATCTATTATCATAGATCAGATGGAATGTACAAATTTGGGTATTACTGATTTTATACAATAGAAATTTCCCTAAACGTTACATAGTTCAAATCAAAGATAATTATGGAAAGATAAGTATACTGAATGTGTCAAGGAATCCACAAGTGAGTATAAAGTGAAGAGCTTTACAGAGTTCTTTTCAAGGGAAAACTGTACTCCCATGTGTCTACAGGAAGTTGCATTAAGTTAGAGGCAAGTTACACCACAAGTGACATTTCCACTGTCAGGCAAGAATTTTTCCCTTTTCTCAGAAGAGGTGTTAATAATGCATTCTTAGAAGGCAATTATTTATTTCCATCTCTTTAGAGATTTAGAGATACTATAAACATAAAATAGAAAATTCTTGAAAAGTAAATTTTAAGTTGTGATAGTAGCTAAAATTATGTATTGATCAAAATCAGTCTCCACACTAGCCGGTACTAACCTGTTTATAGAAATATCAGATTCCTTTGAGACTAATTTGTTCACACAAAAATT